TCGTGACAGGCACAGCACTTTGTGAACCTCGACGCGCAGAGTTCGTGGCAGGTACAGCGCTTGGCGCACCTCGAAGTGCAGATTTCGTGGCAGGCGCAGTACTTTGTGAACCTCGAAATGCAGATTTTGGCGCAGGCGCAGCGCTTTGTGCTCTCAGACGTTCACTCTCGCTCTCACTCTCACCCACCTCACTCTCACTCACTCGCACACGCTCACACTCACACTCACTCTTCACTCACACTCACATTCACACTCACACTCACTCACGCTCACATTCACCCTCACACTCACTCTCACTCACGCTCGCACTCACACTCACACTCACACTCACTCACAAACTTTGAAACAGCAGACTCGTTAGGTGGGTCTTTCCACGACGCTTCTTGCAACTTCTCAAACAAGGCTTCCAATTGCTTTGCATGTGAGAGAAGTTGGGCGCTAAGCTCACCAGCATACTCAACCCCCTTGAGCTCCATCGACTTGCGCCCAGCTTTCACCATCTCATCGAGGAGAGCGTTCATTTTGTCACGCGCCAACCTAAGGATCGAAGCGGGCAAGCTCTCTATGAGAACCGTCGCCGCTTGTGGCTTGCAACACGGACAGAGTTTAATCATCAGAGACACGATCACAGAGTTTCACACTGATTTAGAAGAAGAGACATGAGACCCCTTTTTTGGAAAGACGACATGAGACCCCATCTTTCGAAAGACTTCCGTCGGATTTGGAAAGAGTGTTGTAAAAATTATGGATGAGTTTGTGAGATGTAGGTGGGATAAGAAACAGCGCAGTCATTGGGAGCCCCGGCTCTGCTGTCGTCTTTGGTACCACCACCTCACTTTCATTCACCTTCTCTTTTGGATTCTTTCTCTTCGCTTGCTTGGTGATGTTGCCACCATCCTCATCCAAGGCTTTGAGCAAAGCCTTCGAGCCAGCCTCCGTTGCAGCCTTGACGGCTGGCAGCGCGCCCGAAGGCAGGGCGCCATCATCCCCAACCGTGGCCTCAAACAGGGCACGGTCACATGATTCTGAAGCCTTGGCTGTCATGGATTCTTTGGTAGTGTCATCCTGCCGCACAAGCCTGCCCTCAGCCATGTAGTACCAGGTCTTGTCAGGGTCTGCCGGGAAGTCTGGGTCCTCATAATAGAGACCCTCATTGCGACGCTTCTCAAAGATTTGCTTGGCCTTTTAATCTCCATACTGTTTCTTGATGTCCTTCGCTTTCACAGCACGGAGCTGTTTCCTCGACAGGTTCTGTGACTCTTGTTGCCTCTCCACTGTGACAAGTGTCTCATCCCAGCTCCTGCCCGAGTCGAGCCACAAGTTGAAGAGCTCTGTTTTGTTCTTCTTGTACGCACCAATCAGCTGGGGAGGGAAGATAGTCTTGTTCTTCGCTTGGCGTGAGAACTTGTTCCAAACGGCTTTGTCTGTTGTTGAATCGCGGAGATGCTTTGCTTTTCTCTACTGATTATCACGAGCCCATTTGGGCTACGGTTGTAACGCGTCGATCCTCCTCCCCTGAATTTCAAGGGTTGCAATTTAGCTACCGCCCAGTCACAGGAGAAAATTTGTTTGAACACAGATTTCAATAGAAAACTATCCCCCTCTCAAGAGAAGCATATGTGGAGCTGCTGCCACTACCTTTTCACTTCCATTTTGGACTTGGTGTTTCCGTATAAGCAGAATCATATTTGTTGTATGTGCGCTGCGCCAATGTGGTCCCGCGTCTAGTGCCCCACAACCTCCAAGTTCACACTACTCAAAGTATTTTGAGTTTTGAGTAGTGCCTAATTGCATATGGTCAGTTTGGGCCCGATGCCTGTCCTGCCCCGCAGCAAAACCAATGTGTGTGTGCGTGTTGCTTGACATACACCGAACAAACACGTGTGATTGCACGACGGCGACGGCTGAGTGGAAACAGGTTAGGTGCAGTGTCCTTATTTTTGTTCGCTCCTCATTTTCTTTTCGAGTCTTGTAAACCTTCCTGCCCACAGCATTTAGCGCCAGTAAGTGCAGCACGCCAAAGTAGTTGTAGCGATGACAAACCAAACTACAATCAAAAACTGAAACAACACGTTGGCTTCTAGAGTCTATCTATTTGGTGTCATTACCAAAAACCAGGCTTCCCCAAAGCAGTGACACTGGCACTCAGCTGTCTTGGCAGTTCGAATTAGTGAAATTCAGGAGGTGGGGAAATGGTATAATGGAACTTTTAAGTTGGAATTCAGACTCCGGACTCCGGGTGCAAGTGTTGCAAGTTGTTTCCCACATTATCAGTTCCCCTGAAAATCAACCCTACTCCAAGCTTGCTCAGCCTTTCTCCTGAAAGTGCACTGCTGCGACTGCCACCACCTGGTTGAATTTGGTACAAAATCAAGGATGTTTCTAATTTCTATTCCTATTGTTTCAATGAAAAACACCCTAGGCATCCCTAGGCTGTTTAACTGTTGCCGTTGGCAGTTAGCAGCGGCAGTGCTCAGCTGTCAGCTGGTTGCTTGAATTAAAAGACGGGAACAGCTGAGCTGAGACGCGCAGCGACACCCACACAGAATTCAGTTCATGAGAATGACAACAGTGGTGGCACCACCAACAAGGAGCACGCTCTCAGACTCTCACACATATCCCCTGCCGCGCTGGCGATTACCTACTCCAAGCCTGCATGAACATTCTGCACCAGTAGCTGCATCAAGCCGTAAACCCTAAGACAAAGACAAACAATAGTAGTACAATATTATACAAAATATAGCAAATACATTTAATTATTTGCATACAATTGGCGTACAAAATCAAAAGTTCCTCAACAGCTTCCCCAAAGCAGAGGCACTGGTACTGGTGCTCAGCTGGTTGCAAATTGCAAATGCTCGGATTGAATTGTTTTGTGCTAACAAGTGCAGTAAGCAATGAATAAACAAGGTAACAAGATCACCCATCATCAACGGTAGTTGTTGAAACACAGACGTACTGTACAGTGTGACTGTCAAACAAAACAAAATCACGTAGTTGTTAGCTGCTTCCCTGTAAATAGAACAGGGCACCAAAAAATATTGCACGTTGGAAAACAGCGACCCAGGCATGGGCAGGCATTTTGCACTGGCACTGCGAACTGGTGATTGCCACTTCTAGCTACCGTACCAACATGTGCCTTTCAACAATAACCACTGCATTTGGAAGAACAAGTGCAGTGCACCACAAACCACACTCAGACTGAAACTAAGACCCGCCGACTCTGACCTGAGCCCTAGCCTTAGCCAGAGCATTCGTTTTGGATCTGGCCGTGGCTTTAGCTTTAGCTTTGCTTTTGGCAGCGGCCTTCACTCTTGCCGGGCAAGCCGATGGTCTTAATCGAATCTCAGGCTGCTCAGGCTGCTGCTCAGTGTCAGATTCAACCTCAA